AAAAAAAAAAAAAAAAAAAAAAAAAAAAAAAAAAAAAGAGAGAGAGAGAGAGAGAGAGAGAGAGAGAGAGAGAGAGAGAGACAAACCGAGAGAGCTAAGTAGAGTGCCTTGTTGCTCGCTACGCCCGTCTACTTCATCTTTACGCAACAGTTCTCGCACTGGGTTTGGGGTCTGCCCCACCGGAAGTGCTACATGCCAGCGTATTCTTTTCCAGGTTTAGAAATAATTACAGGACGTGCAAAACCGCTCGCCTGCCAGACATTATATACGTACTATATAAAATTATAATGGTCCTTGACTGACCAGCTCCACAACTGACTACCTGTTTTCTCCCGAATAGAACGCCCGGTCATTATAGCTGCATTTGGCACAACTTTCAGTCCAGATGCAGCGATGATGAGCGGGCGTTTTATTCGGCTGAAGAGGGTAGGCTTCTTATTGAGCTCCATCAGCGAAGTACAGTTGGACAAACGTCCGATCGCCTGTGTCAGTGATGTCTCCCTTTCTTAGCTGACGGCGCCCCCCTGACAATGCAGCTGCGGACCGATAGATTAATCCAATAATCTCCAAATTGATGCCCTCGCGGTCTCTCATTCTGCTCCTCTCCCAGTAGCTTGCTGATACCCTGTTCTTTACGCCTGAAGAAAATCACCTTAGGGCATGCTCATGCTCACGCTACTTCCCTGAACTGGATCTGGCTGCATATGCCGCCAGATGCTCCAGAAAAGCTTTGGTACGAGTATACGCCCTTAGCAACTCCGCCAGCTCAGACCAAAAGTCTGGGTGAGCGTCAGATCCTAAGGGCAACTCCGCCAGCTCAGACCAAGAGTCTGGGTGAGCGACAGATCCTGAGAATCGACGGTGATCAAGCCAACGTACGTATTATTCGGCGGGGGTGGAGGCACCACTCTTGCCTCGGAATTGACATTGATCATCACCGTACCGTCACACTGGGCATAGAGAAAGGATGAGAACTCATCGGTAAAATTGAAGTTGTCTGCCACGGGAGGAGGCAGGTCCCTCAAGACTCTGACTGTCCCTGGAATACCTGATAAGTAGTACGACGTTGCCAGTGAGCCCCTGACGCCTTCATCGAACTGGCCGTACCCTCGGAATGTCACATCCCGCAGAGTAAACGTGAACCCTGTAGGAAATCTCAGGTTGATGGCCACTTGGCAGTTTTTGCGCCGGTCATCTGGACTTCCTGGGGTGAACGCTCTGTACTCGCTGAACTTTATATTGACCGCTTGTCCGTCGAGGGAGAGAAGGCTCGAGGTACTTCCAGGCGGACAGCCAGAGCCCGCGTAGGTGATGTTCTCGATCTTTACCGTACCGGATGGCGGAATTTGAGCAAGTCCAGGAACGGCAAACTGGAGAAGCCCCAGCAACAGCAGGACCACCATCGCCGCCATCGTAGACACAGACTGGAAAACCCTGTGCCTGATGCTCTTCGTCTTCGGCTTTCGCCTCACCTTGTTCTTGTCTCCACGTGCCCAGCAACAGATCAGTTGTTCCGGCGATGGCAGCAGATAACCCTTCCCCCAATTGGCCGCACCCGGAGCTGTTCGCCTTGAGTCGCCCTCTGAGCTCCCTCTCCTCGGCTTAAATGCCGTGGAAGATGAGCTAGCGGTCGCCACTTCTCGCAGCTCCCGCCTCCGATCCCCAAAGACCACCACGATCAGCAAGCAGATCGCAGCCCACTGTACGCAGACTGCCCGTTAATGCGCTTTTACACACAGCCGGAGGTGAAGTTCGCCTGTGTCCCCCGAGAGCACAGCGCGTCAAGATCACAAAAAAGCATGCAAACGCTGTATAGTGAGGTGCTGGTCCGACAGACTCGTTCCGAGGGTGTGCTCCTCTCGGGGTGAAACGCTGCCTACAGGCGTACCTTGTGGCAGTGTGAGGAAGACATGCCAATCAAATACTTTGGGCGGAAGAGAAACCGGAAAGCCGGCCCAATTCCACGTGTCAGGTGTCGAAAAGAGAAAAAGAAGGAAGGGTGGGCCTCGTTCCACTACTCTCGACATGCACAGACATCGCCATGTGGGGTTGCGGGGGGGTAGGGGGAGGTGCAGTGAGGTGCAGTGACTGGCCATTGCTCGGCTCTAGCACCGCCGATCTCCCCCATCGGCAACGCCTGCCCACCCCTCATCACCGTAATGAGGGACTGGTACAGCCTTCCTGTTGCACCACTGCCGTGTTGCCAACCTACCCCGTGGGCTAGGGAGAGATCCGGTAGGTTGTGTTCCCCCGTACAATACATAGTACCTCCCCACACCACTCTCGAAATGTGAAAAAGACAAAAATGTGGCGGGTGCACCTGGCCATCTTCTAGCGGTAAGTTCATTCTCATTTTGCACATTTCGAGAGTGGTGTGGCGATGCCCATATACTACCAAGAAGATGAGGTAGATGAGAGAAGAATGTAGCTTACTTTTTTTTTTTAATTAAAAAAAAAAAACCTGGCGGTGTATCTCTCCAAGTTGCACCGGAAGATTAGCTCTTGTTTTGCACATTTCAAGAGTACGGAGCGCGGCGCTTTCGAATGCCTCTTCTGCTCCTCGCCCGTCTGATACGATCTTAATATGTTCTTTCCGTCCACGTTCAGATCATACACCTGCCCGTTGTCTGGAAGCAGGGAACCTACTCCTAAGCGACAGGCACGCGAGAAGTTGTTGTTTTTTTTCGTTTCTTTTTGTTTCTATTTTTTGAAAGAAGCCTTGAGAGGCCAAGGCCACTGAAGGGGGCCTACCTTTTTTTTTTTTTTTTTTTTTTTTTTNAGATGGGAGGATTACGAGCTGCGCCCGGGGGAGCGATTGGGTGGTCCACAAGTCGGGGATGTATCTTCCCGTTTTTTTTTTTTTTTTTTTTTTTTTGGGAAGGGGCCTACTTTTGAATCCTCGCTCAGTTGGTAAGGCACGCAAGTGGCATTCAGGAGGTCTTGGGTGGCCTCATGTACCTTCCTGGGCATGCTTGGCGCCTGCCACCTAGAGATAGCCCGTTGGTCCCCCCAATTGGCATTAAAAAGCAGTCTCTGCTGATGTTCATAGGGGGAGGGGATACTCAGGGAGGCACAGCTACTGGCCACTCAGATCATGCTCGGTCCCTCTGCTACCGGCTGTCCCCTGGCCGGTGCCCCCCAGTGGGGGATCCCTGAAGGCTATCAGGCCGCCCTGGGCTGAAAAGGCCACCATTGTCAGATTAGACACAAGATTGAATTTACCTGGGCTGGTTAGTCCGATGATAATACCTCAAGGCCATCGCCCTTTATTAAAAAAAAAAAAAAAAAAAATCATAGTACAGTGTGAGATGAGTGACACCCTTGGATCTCACAGCATCTACCTCCAGACATTGGGGGCTTAGAAATGTTGCGAGTTCAATGGATTTGGACTGGAATAGTCAGGCCTGTCCGGCCCAACCGTCTGGGGCTCAGCCGATAAGAAAGCGAACTTCGGGCCTGGTCGGAAGGTATGGCACACACGAAAAAAAACGAAGTAGTTTCGCGAACGTTTCGCCGCACAGCACTCCTGCGAATCCTGTCAGTCGAAACCCGCGAATTGTGTCAGACTCCAAGTTCGCGAGTGTCTCACAAGCAGTTGCCGTCCCCCTGCCTCTAACTCAGGCGAACTGGCAGGTCCTCCGGACGTCTGGTGGTGGAGCTGCGAGTCCGCGCGAGCGCACCACGCCGTTCCAAAGAGTGTCCGTCCAAAATTTTGGACATTTGCGCATGTCAGGCCTCACACAAACTCTACAGGCCATTCCCACAAGTGATTTAGCGTGCGGCGGTGGTGCAAAAAACGAAACAAAACGGTGATGTTCAGTCTCGCGAGACCTCTCGAGTTTCAAGTTCGTTTCTTTTCGTTTTTCATACCGTCCGGCGAGACCCTTTGAAACTACTGGTGGTGAGGCAGGCTGGTACCTGGGCTCTTGAGCTGAAATGCCAACTGCCCTATCCTCAACGTGTACTTCTTTTCCGGGGAACAAAAAAGACAAACAAACAGGCAATGTTGACACCCGGGATCCTGTTTCTAGCCTTAGGAAGCAGCATGCCGGAAGGACGACCTCCTTGTTTTCTTCCTTTTGTTGACACAGGGCATACTCACACGGGGACCAAAAGTCTTAAAAATGTGAGGCATTTGGTTTGGGTTTTTTTAGGCATTTGGTCCCCGTGTGGTCACACGGGCGGACTTCTCCCGACCGTTAAACTTTGCACTCGGGGCAAGTGCGCCCAGTCACATGGGAGGACCGAACAAAAAGATGGATTTTTTGTTTTCTTTTTTTCACAGCACTATAATGCGTGGGCCTTCGCTACAACGGAAATGTTTCTGGTCGCATTTTCAGTTGTTTGGCGGGAAAAAAAAAAATTGAAAGGTAAAAAGGGTCCTCCCATGGCCCCGCAGACCGCTGACGAAGGGTCACCGTTTGAGGCATATGGGTAGCGGGCCTCTCCAGTGTGACCCGAAAACTGACTCAAATTTTGGGATTTCGGGGCTTGTTCGACACTCCTCGGGGCATCCTCGGGCCCTGAGGACGATTCCTTGGAGTCGCCGGAGGAAAATCCCGCCTTCATTCCACTCATCCTCGGAAATGTTCCCCGAAGACGATTCCTCGGGGCGTCTTGCAGCCAGTTTCATATATCGACCAGTGGACGCGGGGGGGGTCGGCGTTTGGTCCATGCTGCATGTCCGTGTGGGTGTCGGTGGTCCAGTGCTGGCGGTGTGCACGACTGGGCTCTACGGCGGGAAAAAAAAAATGGCACGGAAAAGGCGCGGTGTCCCAGTTCGAAATTTGAATTCGAATTTTTGCGAACAAGCGTGTACAAGAGTGGGCGTCCCTTGTGGGTGACGGCGGCGACATTGTTCGGCGGTGGTCGTTTCGGATTTTGGCGGCGGAGCGCTTCTGACGACATGAGGAACGTACATGTTGGAAGCAGTGGACACGGCGTGACATTATCGCGTTCGTCCTCCCGCTTTCACGAACGTGGATTTCCATTGCCAGTTGCGCTGAGCACTGTCGTCTTCACTGCTGGCAGCGCTGTTGTGCGGCCCGCGTCGCGCTCTGCCGTCTTCTGCACTCCACGACGGGCGACAGAGGGGTCGTTATCGAAGGTGAAGAGGACTGCGGTGGCAGCGGCCTTGAGCGCCGTCCTCTTCCGGTGCCAGTTGGAGAGGGGCGAGGGGAGGATGAGAGCGACCATTCGCGCGCGGCGGAAACGGACGCTGCATTCGCCGTCTGTGGGGGGCGACGACAGCGCTGCCATTTGCGACGCCGTGCTGCGGGTGTGCTACACCATGGGGTGTGGAGCGTTCCCCAGAGCGACAACCAGATGGTGGATGAAGCGACGTACAGGCGGCACGTGGGAGGATCTCCGGTTATGCGACGACACGACGACGGACTACTTTAGGGAGAAGCTACGAATTTCGCCACGTGTATTCCGAGAGATAACGGAAGCTCTGTCTCCCTTCCTTGAGCGACGTGTCACTTTCTACAGGGAGCCCCTCCAGCCAGACCAGATTGTCGCCTAGGCTTTGTACAGGTGGGCATCGGAGGAGACACACGAGAGCGGGACATGCAGCTTTGGCATTGGCAGATCTTCTGGGTTGGTGGCGGTGCGGGATGTGACTGCGGCGTTGCTCAGTGCGTTCCCTGACAAAATCTCGTGGCTGATGGGTCCGCAGAAGGCGGTCGTCTTGCGCGCTTTCACTGACAAGGGTTTCCCCAACTGCGATGGGTGCATCGACTGCACCCACATCTCCATCGACAAGCCTGCGAATTGTCCCGGGGAGGACTACTACGATAGGAAACGACATTTCTCCGTGCAGGCACAGGTCGTCGTGGATTTGAACTTGTGCATGTTGGATGTGTTCGTCGGTTACCCGGGAAGTTGCCACGACGTCAGGATCGTCCATGTGTCCAGTTTATGGGCACGCGCGGAGGCGGGAGAGCTTTTCACCGGGCCACCTGTCATGCTGCCTTTCGGTGTGTGGACGAACGGATATCTGTTGGGGGACAACGGGTACCCGCCCTCCGAATGGGTTGTCGTCCCTTACGGCGGTGTATCCCAAGACCCTGTAGAGATGCGCTTCAATAACAAGCAGAAGACGGCGAGGGGCGCAGTGGAGAGGGCTTTCGAGAGACTGAAGGGGATGTGGAGGTTGTTCCTTCGATCCCACAAGACGAACATGGAGACGTTGCCGCAGCAGTTCGTGGCCGTCAACATGTTCCACGACATACTCATCGACGCGAGCATCCCGTTCGACGACAATCTGTTGTGGGAGGTCGGGCCGGACGATGTTCGTCGCAGGGTGGATCTTGGGATGGATCGTCCCTTGAGGCAGATGTGCATGGATTCGTCCACAGGGGATGCCCTCATTCTACGTGACACACTGGCTGAGCGAATGGCGGCACAGTGAAGACAGCGAGGCGAGCGGAGCGATTGGCCTTGATGACGTGGCTGAGATGATTAAACGTGGCCGTGTCCAGCGGGTGCAAGGTAGAAATCGTGGCAGAAGACGAGGGGTGGTCCATGTCGTGCAACGAGTTGTCGTCGTTGTGTTTGTCGGCCATCGGTCGGATCTCGCGAGTTGAAGCGGTGGTGGCCGTCATAGTTTTGTTGGCCGGGCATCCGGCAGTGTGTGTTGGCAGTTTATTTCGTTGTGTTAGGGTCCGAGCATTGTCGGGTGTGTGGCTGCACCGGGGGCGGACTGCAGTTGCGCAGTCGAAGACGTAGGCGACGAGGGGCGATGTGAGAAGCACCCACGTGCAGACAGGTGGTTGTTGTGTAGTGCGTTGTCGCTCCGGCGACGTGTGAGAGTGGCAGGGTTATCGTGTCGATCGTTGGTTTTATTTTTGTGTTTTGGTTCAACTTTCCACTGGAATTGATTTATGGCCCTTTTCGTTTTTCACACTTTGTCTCCACGAACGTGTTGTTTTGTTGTTTTGTATTTTTTTTTTTCTTTTTTCTTCGACGTTCTTATTTTTTTGTTTCTTATGGTTCTCCTCTTTTCATGTTCTTATGCACAGCGATCTGCCATGTTCTTTATTGTCTGCGGCGTGGATGGTGTGCGGCATGTCTTTCTCCTTCCCCAACAACGACATACATACAAATGCAGGACGGTGTTGTCTGTTGTTTCTCATGCCACCTTTGCTTCCAACATGCGTGATGATGTGTGTGGACAAACCTCGGTTAGCAGTCTTTCCAAGCAATCAATCTTCAAAAACAAACAATCCCATTATGAATGTGGACGGCAATGGATCATGACAGCTGCCAAGTGGACGACGCAGGCGCGAAGAACAAAAAATCATTGGCACCCTTATTGCTCGCATGTACAGAACCGAAGAAACAAACAAAAGCTCCTAACTGAAGGACGAACATGTTAATCAAAACAAAAGTCCAAAAGAAACCCCCAGCTCGAATGCGCTTGCTGCTGTGACACCGAACACAGAAACGTCCACCCCCAACGACCACCGACGTCGTCCGCACTGGCAGCAAACCCTGGCGCACACCCTGTTCTAATTCTACACGAAAGTGCACACATGCACCCCCATGATCAAACCTGTCCCTGCGCACCCAACGACATCATGAACCCCCCGTGCTCATATATTCGTTGACAGCGGCGTCATCGCCGTCTTCCGGTGGCCCTATGCCCAACCAATCGAGCTTTTTAGCCTCCATTGGGGAAGACAAAGTGGCGTCGTGCGAGAATTTGACGCCGATTGACGCCCAGTCCGGGATGTACAATGGAGGGGCCAGCAAGGTGATCGGGGATTTCGCCAACTTGTTCGTGATGGCTGTTGCGGCCTGCACGATGTGGCGACGCGCGTCGAACGAGCGATGCATGGATGCGATTAGTGTGGGTTTCGCCGTCAGCTGGACGAATACCCACGCGTCATAATGGGCGCGACGATCGTAACCGCTCATGCGCATGAGCCACATGGTCGCAGCGAGCATTACCCGCATCACGTCGGGTACGCTCTTCAACCTCTCATTAACCGCAGGGTTGATGGCGTTCGCCCGCGGAGGAGCACCTCTTGCGCGGTCGGGGGTTTGTTGACACGCGGCAACGGCGCACGGTTCTGCTGCGTGGCGGCACTACCCCCGGCTCGGCCCGTCGCCGCACGCGCGGCGACATCGGCGTCTTGTTCAATTGGTCCACGGCCCCCTGCGCAACGCCTCTCGCCGACGTCATCGATCCGGAGGGCTCCAATCGGCCTTCTGGAGGACTTGCGCTTGAATGGGATTTCCTCCGATTCGGCGAAGTCGCTTTCCACGTGTGAATCGTCCCCCTCCGCCACCCACTCTTCCGCGTCTGCGTGTATCGCCAGCGCAGAGGCCCCTTGGACGAGCTTCCTCTGTTTGTTCGCCACGTGGCGGCCCCTTTTCTCCCGGAGAGCCACGTCGACCGCCTGTTTCCCGGCAGACCTCCAGCGTCCAGAACCTCGGGACGCCATATGGCATGGGTTATTGCAGATGCAAAGATAAGAGGAAAAAAAGATAAGAAAAACACAGTTTTTTTTTGTTTTTTTTTGTTTTTTGCACACACACATAATGATTGATCAAAAGTTGAAAAAACACACAAAGTTTTTTTGTTTTTTTTTGTTTTGTTTTTTGACACACACATAATAATTGATCTACTGAATCCAGCTGCCCAGCTCAGTTGGTAAGGCACAAAAGTGGCATTCAGGAGGTCTTGGGTTCAATCCCCATTGGCCTCATGCACCTTCCTGGGCAAGCTTGGCGCCCGGCTCCTATAGATATGCCGTTGGTCCCCCCGGCTGGCACTGAGCAGAGACTGCTGATGTTCATAGGGGGAACAGACTGGAGGAGAGGGACAGTGACGGGCACATTGAAGAAGCTGAGTCCCGATGCTACCGGCTGACCCCTGGCCAATATCACCCACGTGCTGTAGCAGGTATTGGACCTGCTGGTGGGTGCATCTCCCACATGTTCCGTCATTGGAGGCTTGAGCAGGGATGTGGCTGCTACGGGGTTCCCTGTAATGACAAAAAAAAATGCCTGAAAGGGCATCCTGTCCAGATTGGACAGGTAATTGAAATGGTTGGGCTTAGGCTGCTTACAGAATTAGCCTTAAAAAAATGAAAACAAATTGATTTATTGATTGCTTGATTGCTTGATTGATTGATTGATTCATTAAGAAACAAAAAAAAGCCCGTGATCTATCAATCAATAAAAAAAAGAGAAAACTATCGCGCAGTCAGGGTTACAGTTTGTAATTGCATTTCAAACTGCGTTTTAGCAGTTTCATCAGGGCCTGAGTTTCAAATTCAATTGAAACCTGGGCTGACCTGTTTTAGCAGTTCAGTCAGGCACGTGGCCCTTTTTTTGGGGGGGCAACAGCTCGTGGGTCACAACCAACGTTCGTAATGGGCAAAAAAAACATTCGTCCGCAGGTCTATCCCGAACTTAGTTCAAAACGGCAATAATAACAGTGCCTCCTGTGGAATTCGCCCCGCCTGGCTGCAGGGTGCTACAGGACCTCACAACAAAAAGCAAACAAAAAAACGACATGTCTCACGTTCCTCACATACTGGCCAGATACATTCCTCAAAGCACTGGTGTAACTTCCATCCCACGGCGTGGATTCATAGTGCGTGGATTCATAGTTCCTCGTTTCTTCCTTTTTTTTTTCTTTCCTTTTTCTTCTTTGGCTCCATCCCTGCACTGTTGAAATGCACACCCAGGTTCAAATCCCCCCTTATTCTGTATTGTCTAGGGCGGCCCCACCACACCCGGCCACGCGAGATCTGGGCTGTGGCCAATTTGGGGTGTGGCCGAGACATCCCGGCCGTGGCCAATATGGGGTGTGGCCAAGACATCTCGGCCATGGGCAATCTGGGGTGTGGCCAAGACATCTCGGCCGTGGCCAATCTGGGGTGTCGCCGAGACATCTCTGGCGTGGCCAATCTGGGGTGTGGCCGAGACATCTCGGCCATGGCCAATACGGGGTGTGGCAAAGACATCTCAGCCCCTCGGGCAAAAGGAAAATTTCCTTTTGGTTCAAAAGGAAATTTGGGCTCTTCTTTTTTTACCTGCCCATGGGGAGGTCGCCCGAGGACATTTGATCCTTCCAGCGATGTCAGAAAAGAAAAAAGAAAAGAAAAGAAAAATAAAATGTGCTTGAGGCCTTCAGCCAATAGGGTGCCGCTTCAATTCAGATTCTTGCTTACGTCTCTCTACCCATTTGCCCGTGCGGACTCCTTTTGGGCAAAAGGAAGAAATGGCTGGGGAATCCTCAGAGCCCAAGGAATTTCCATTGGAGTGTTTTCACTTTTTTTTTCCCTACTGCATCCCCGAGGATAGGTGGAACGAACAATTCCTCGGGGACTTTACACACCCTATCCAATTCCTCGGGGACTTTACACGCCCGAGTAGTGTCTAAAGAACCGCTCAATCAAACAAAAAAAAAATCAATCAAACACACACAGTCAATCAAACATTTTTTTTTTTTAATCCTTTTTCAAATTTTCACCCACGGCCACGGTCATGATCGCGAAGGTCGCGGCCATGGCTCCGAACCGCGGTCAGGATTGCAGCGACCAGCGGTCAGGGGGATTCGTAGTCCATGGTGTCAGAGGATTTACATAAGAATGGACCAAGGACGAAGTTCAACTGGATTCGACTTCAATTATCTCACTCGAGTGCAGTTACTTTATGATAGAGTCCATGTATGTATGGATTTCTTTATCAAGTCGAGCTCTTTGAGTTCCATCTACTGTCTGTTCTTGGGGAGAGAGCCAACATTTTAACGGATGGAAGATGTGTAGTCTCCTGTTCGATGTTAAAGCTGGTAGATGAGATGATGTCCATGACTACACCCGCCGACGTCCCGTCTTGTCCGTCGCTGTTGGAGCTTGATTGATGTTTCGATTGTTGCCTTGCGCGCAGGGATCTGTTATAATACTACAAATGTCCTTCAGGAAAGCAAAAGGAAAGAGGTTGCGAGGTATCCGTGAAAGTTCATTTATGCTGTAAAATACTCCTTAAAGATGTCGAAATACTGGAAAACGCCTCTGAATTTTCTTTCCCCTTTGAAAAAATTGGACCATCTCTGGATTTATGACTGTCATCCTCGCACAGGGGCGTTGACAGGGGCGTTTATGTGAAATTTTAGAAGTTTGTGAAATGCCCTTTTGCTTGGATTTAAATTTTAAACCGTTGGCACGGGGTTGCCGTGTTTGTGGTATACGCCTGTCAGGGGCTGAACGCAAACGTGCGCCTCCACCTGACAGGGGTAGATCGCAAAGATGTGAATCCAAAAGGGCATTTTCACAAGCTTTTGAGAAAATTCCTTTAAAATTTCAGAGGGTGTTGCCATCTCCCCACATCATTTTGAGGGTATTTTAGCATATACGAGAGCTTTCTGGGTACACATTTTCCTAAAAAGAAAATACAGAAATGAACTCCAAAGGATAGGAAAAAAAGAAAACGAAATCAGGAAAATAGATTGCGTGCTGATCTTTTTCGCGGAAAACGAAAATATTCCTGGCGGAGAATTCCATTTACTCTTCGTGCTGGGCGTTCAAGCACAAGCGAGTACAAAGGCTAAGTGTGTCTGTTCGTTAAAAGAAAAACGTTGAGAGACAGTGGCGCCATGAGATCGATTGGCGGGACGAGCAAAGCATACACTCCACAGGGACCAACAACTCGTGCTACGCGCAGACGCACTCCAATCGTGACAGAGGGGGGACACGCGAACACGATGTTACAGGTGAACAATGCACCGATTTCAAGAAATTAAGCATATGCAGGAATTCATTGGAAAAGACGATGCTTCATTACCAGAAGAGATCATATTAACGCTAATACTCCCTCCGAATTCAACTGCAACGCTGAGCGCCTTCTGTGGGTGTAGAGTCGCACTCTGAAGATGTGAGTCACACACACCCACACACACACGGCGCATTGAGCAAGCAAACGAGAGAGAGAGAGAGAGAGAGAGAGAGAGAGAGAGAGAGAGAGAGAGAGAGAGAGAGAGAGAGAGAGAGAGAGAGAGAGAGAGAGAGCACTAAGTAACCTGCTACGCCCGTCTACTTCATCTTTACGCAACAGTTCTCGCACTCGGCTTCGGGTCTGCCCCACCGGAAGTGCTACATGCCAGCGTATTCTTTTCCAGGTTTAGAAATAATTACAGGACGTGCAAAACCGCTCGCCTGCCAGACATTATATACGTTCTATATATAATTCTAATGGTCGGTGACTGACCAGTTCCACAACTGGCTGGGCTTTCTATTGAGCTTAATCAGCGAAGTGCTCTCGAACACACGTCCAATCCCCTGTGACAGTGATGTCACCATTTCTTAGCTGACCGCGGCCCCCTGACAATGCAGCTGCGGACCGATAGATTAATCCACTATTCTCCATGTTGATCCCCTCGCTGTCGCTCATTCTGCTTCTCTCCAAGTAGCGTGCTGATGCCCGGTTGTTGACGCCTGAATAAAATCAGCTCAGGGCATGCTCACGGTACAACTTTCTGAAGTGGATCTGGCTGCATTTGCCGTTAGATGCTCCAGAAAAGCCTTGGTACGAGTATATGCCCTTAGCAAATCTTCCAGCTCAGACCAAAACTCTGGGTGAGCGACACATCCTGAGAATCGACGCCGATAGAGCCCGACATGCTACTCGGCGGAGGTGGAGGCACCACTCTTGCCTCGGAATTGATAATGATCATCACCGACGTACTGTTGCACTGTGGATAGATAAGGTTTGTGAAGTTATCGGCGTAATCGAAGTAGTCTGCCTTGGGACTAGGCAGGTTCCTCAAGGTTTTGACTGGCTCTCCAATGTCTGAGAAGTAGTACGCCGCGGCGAGTGTACCATTGACGCCTGGCTCCAAATCGGCGTACCCTTGGAATCTCACAGTCACCAGAGTAAACGTGAACCCAGCAGGATAGATCAGGTTGACGGCCAAACGGCAGTTTTTCCTCCGGCCGCCTGGATTTCCTGTCGACACGTTGAAACTGCTGAAAAGTACAGTGAGAAAACGTTGGTCGGCGGAGACAAGGCTCCTGGTACTGTCAGGCGGACAGCCAGTGCCAGCAGAGATGGCCTGCTCGATCTTTACCGTACCGAATGGCGGAATTTGAGCAAGTCCAGGAACGGCAAGCTGGATAAGCCCCAGCAACAGCAGGACGACCATCGCCGCCATCGTAGACACAGACTGGAAAAGTCTGTGTCTGATCCTCTTCGTCTTCGCCTTCCGTCTCACCTTGGTTCTGTCTCCGCGCGCCCAGCAACAGATGAGTAGTTCCCGCGATGGCAGCAGATAACACCCCCCCAAATTCGCCGCTCCGGGAGCTGTTCGCCTGGAGTCGCCCCCTGAGCTCCCTCTTCTCGGCTTAAATGCCGTGGAAGAAGAGATAGCGGACGCCACTTCTCGCAGCTCCCGCCTGCGATCCCCAAAGACCACCACGATAGATGAGCAGATCGCAGCGCACTGTACGCCGAGTGCCCGTTAATGCGCCTTTACACACAGCGGGAGGTAAAGTTTGCTTGTGTCCGCCGAGAGCACAGCGCATCAAGATCACAAAAAAGCATGCAAATCCTGCTTAGTGAGGTGCTGGTCCGACAGACTCTTTCTGAGGGTGTGCTCCTCTCGGGGTGGAAAGCTGCCTACAGGCGCACCTTGTGGCAGTGTGGAGACGACATGCCAATCAAATTAATTTTAGCGGAAGAGAAACCCGAAAGCCGGCCCAATTCCACGTGTCAGATGGCAAAAAGAGAAAAGTTGGAAGGTTGGGCCTCGCTCCACTGCTCTCTACATGCACAGACACCGCCATGTGGTGTTTGTGGGGGGGGGGGTACGGGGAGGTGCAGTGACTGGCCATTGCTCGGCACTAGCACCGCCGATTTCCCCCATCGGCAACGCCTGCCCACCCCTCATCACCATGATGAGGGACTGGTACAGCCTTGCTCTTGCAGCTCTGCTGTGGCCCCAACCTACCCCGTGGGCTACGATGAGATCCAGGTTGGTTGGTGTCGCCCAGCGAGAGGATGAGATAGGGCCTCGCCGCACGGCACACGAAACGAAAAGGAAACGAGTGCATGCAAAATACACTCGTTACTAAACCCATAAACCTGGCCAATTTCTGGCGGAAGATACATTCGTTTCGTTTTTCGTTTCATGTGCCGTGCGGCAACGCCCATAGATGCATACAACCAAGAAGGTGAGCTAAATGAGAGAAGAATGCAGCTTACTTTTTATTAAAAAATAATAACAATAATAATAATAAATATCATGGCGGAGTATCTGTCCAAGTTGCACCGGATGATTCACTCTTGTTTTGCACATTTCGAGAGTAGTGGAGCGCTGGCCTTTGGAATGCCTCTTCTTCCTCCCATTCACCCATCATTCTCTGTACCTTCTCTCCTTCCCCCTCTCTCTCATCGCTCCCAACCACTCCCACTCGCACCATATGAAGTACCGGACTTTCAGTGTAGGACTTGCTGGTCGAGTTTCCCGGGTCCTCTGGTCCCGTCAAAAGCTAAACTGGCTAATGCTGCCAGATGTTCCTTCTCCGGGTTGAATTGTGGGTCTTGCTCTCACCCTTGTCCCTTTGATGTTGTAATAAACGAGTATTCCCCGAAAAAAAAACAAAAACAAAAAAGGCCTCTTCTGCTCCTCTCCCCTGTCGGATACCATCTTATCTTCCGTCCGTCCACCTGCAGATCATGCACCTGGCCCTTGTCTCGAAGCAGGGAACCTACTCCTTCTAAAAACGTCAAGCACGTGAGAGGCTGTGTTTTTTTTTTTTTTTTTTTTTTTTTTTTTTTAATTGTTTTTTTCGTTTCTTACTGTTCCATTTTTGGGGAAACTACGCGGGAGTCACAAAAATGACAAATCCAGAGGCCTAGCTCAGTTGGTAAGGCATGCAAGTGGCATTCAGGAGGTCTTGGGTTCAATCCCCACTGGCCTCATGCACCTTCCTGGGCAAGCATGGCGCCCGCCACCTAGAGATATGCCGTTGGTCCCCCCGAGTGGCATTGAGCAGAGAGTGCTGATGTTCATAGGGGGAGGGGACCGGAGGGGAGGCACAGTGACTGGACCATAGAAGAAGCTAGATCCTGATGCTACCGGCTGACCCCTGGCCGGTATCGCCCACCTGCTGTAGCAGGTATCGCACCTGCTGGTGGGTGCAGCTCCCGCATGTTCCCCCGTTGGAGGCTTGAGCACAGATGTGCGGGGTTCCCCGTAATACTATAATGACAGTAAAAAAGGCCTGAAAGGCCGTCCTGTCCAGATTTGACAGGTAAATATAATTGCACTATGGGCCACGCTACAGTATCCATGTGCAGTTCGGGCAATGTAGACAACCCCGACCTATAATTGCACTAGAGGTGCTGGTAAGAGCAGGCACCACTAGCCCCATCAGTGAGGCTCCATCTGTTGGTGGGCAGCAGCACCTGCTGGGAAAGGGGCCCAGCATTTCTTTTCTTCTTTTTCTTTTCTTTTTTTTTCTTTTGAATCGTAGTACAGTGTGAGATGAGTGACACCCTTGGATCTCACAGCTACCTGGGGGCTTAGAAAATTTTAATTAAAAGTTAAGCCACAGCTACCTGCGGGGCATGATGTTGCGAGTTCAATGGATTTAAACTGGAATCGTCAGACCTGTGTTCGGGCTCGGGGTATAAGACAGCAGACTTTGGAAGTACCTGTGGTTTAAAACAGGGTACGGGAAAGGTCTCCTGCTGTTGGATACTGGCCTGAGGTGAGGCGGGTTAGTACCTGGGCTGAAATGCCAACTGTCCCATCCTGAACGTGTACAACTTTTTTTCTTGAAAAAAAAAGCGGCAATGTTGACACCCAGGCTCCAGTATCTAGCCTTAGGAAGCAGCATGCCGGAAGGAGAACTTCCTTGTTTTCTTCTTTTTTGTTAATAGTCTCGGAAGAAACCTGAGATTGATCTGTTAGTTGTCAGGTCTCTCTTTAACCTTTTCTCCCTCACTACACAATTGAGATATAGAGGGTCGTTAGACACTCCTTAGGGCGTCTTCGGGGGCAAAGGAAGTTTCCTTGGGGGTTCTAAAGGAAATTCCCGCCGTCTGTCCACCTATCATTGAGGATGATTCCTTTGGGCCCCCGGCGGCCATTTTCATAATATTATAGTCAGCCGGGGGGGCGAACAATGCCTTGGTCCATTGGGTGATTTCCGTCTTGCTACAGTGTGGTCCAGCTGCCGAAGGCGGGAAATTTTGAAAGGTGCTGGCGACCGGAAAAAAAAAAAGAACCTTAAAAAGCAAAGGATGTTCCTGTTCGAAAATCAAATTTCAAATTGGGCTGGACGTCGCGACAGCAACGCGGGGCAGGTGGCGTCCATATCTGGGACGGTGGAAACTGGCATTTGCAGCGGCGTAGTAGAGTCTCGTACGTCGTCACGAATTTGTGAGCATCCCGCGAAGGTCCATAGCCATCGCCTCTGCATGCAGCGGCGCCTATGTGTTGAGTCGAGCACAAGCGGGGAACGTCGTTGGGGACTTGGCGCTGAGGTTACCGTGGTCGTGGCAAGTTGGTAGGCTGCTGAATTTTTATGAGCATTGGAATACACGTGCCGACGCCGGGCGGCAGCGACGACGAACGTGTGGAGTTGACGATAATTGAGAAGATGGCTGTGGTGGCGGCCGTGACGGCCGTGCACTTTCGTTGTCAGCAGGAGAGGGCACTGGGCAGAATGAGAGCTTAGATCCGCACACGAAGGAGGAAGACGCTTCATCAAGTCCCGGTCGAATGGCCGGATACCGTGGCCATCACCGAGGCTGCAGTTCAGGTTTGCTGTGCCATGGGTAGCAGTGTTCTTCCATGAGCGACACCGAGGTGGTGGATGAAAACGAGGACAGGGGAGGGCTGGGAGGATCTCAAACAATGTGATGATGCGACAGAGGAGTACTTCTGAGAGAAGCTGCGTACGTCACCACCTGTCTTTCTGATATTCACGATTGCATACAGTGTGGACGAATGCCTGCGGGATGCGCTGCTGATGTCGACGTCGACTGCAGTCGTTGTCGATCCCACGTCTTATCTGCTGGAGGCCTTCGATAGAGGTCGGCCATCACCGATAGAGGAAGTTCATGTGGAACAGGAGGACCACGACAAGCAAAATTGCGACTAGGAGCAGCAGTGGCAACCTTCAATAATGGTTGGACATCAACAACACGTACGATAGGGCCCCTGTCGAGCGCATCGGCCCCCGCCTTTTCTGCTTCTCTTTTTTTTTTTTTTTTTTCTTCTTCTTACTTTTCCTGCCCTCTCATTTTTTTGGAAGGGGCATTTCGTCATTCTGAAATGAACGGCCCACCCCACGCCCCCAAGTCATTTCACTGAGTCGAAATAGAGTCAAGCTCCATAGGGTTTTCTTTCCCCTGCTGCAGCACGCATCCGCACCCAGCTGCCAACAACTTCAGGTTCGGGCGCGTCGTTGGAAGTTGCAGCCCGTTTCCAAAAGCGAACGGGCGCAACTTCAACGGCGCCACGACAAGAAAGGGAATGAGGGGGGGGGGATTATGTGGCAGTGTATATTTCCATGTTCCAGTGGTAGATTCCTTCGATTTTGCTCATCCTATCGATGGACGTGCCATGAGGTCCGCCGCCAGGTAGGATACTTGTTGTTCTCTCTCTCTCTCTCTCTCTCTCTCTCTCTCTCTCTCTCTCTCTCTCTCTCTNTCTCTCTCTCTCTCTCTCTCTCTCTCTCTCTCTCTCTCTCTCTCTCTCTCTCTCTCTCTCTCTCTCTCTCTCTCTCTCTCTCTCTCTTTTTTGTAGCAGTGTACAATTACACATTGTAGGGTAGATTTATTCCTTTTTTGCTCATCCTTAGTTGGAGGTCTTGCCCGTTTGTTTTCAACAAATGGGCACATCAACAACGACGAGAGGGGATCTAAAGAAATATTTAGGAAAAAAAGAAAAACAAAAAAATCTAAAAAAAAACAAAAATCTAAGAATGAAAAAAAAAAAAACGGTCTGACGCCGTTGAAAATGACGCCTGCTTTCTTTTGGGGACTCTAAGTCGCTTGCTACTTTCCTTGGCTTCATGTGGCGCTCCGATTTAGTTTACTTTTTTTTTTTTTTYTTAAAGTTTTTTTTTTTTTTTTACTCCGTTGGCTATTCCAACGGTACCTTGTACCATAGAGCCCCTCCCTGCCTTGCAGACCTGAGCTCGAGTCCCGAAGGACTCGAAAGATTTGGACCATCTCTTGATTTATGTGTGTCATCCTTGAGCAGACCCTGTAGCTCCGCGCGACTGATTTCAGCCGCGCTATCTCAAGGATCTCGCGGCCGAGATCGACCACGCTTACAGTACTGGCCTGTCAGCTGCTCCGAAAGGAGCTAGCCGAGTGTGGGCGTGTCCGGTTCGATCCCGGTGTCTGCTGGGTAAGAGTCGTGCGCTGAAACCTACTG